ATTTTGAGTTTATTTTTGTGTATGGTGTAAGTTGGTGGTCGAGTTTCATTTTTTTGCATGTAGCTGTCCAATTTTCCCAACACCATTTATTAAAGAGGCTGTCTTTACTCCACTGTATGCTCTTGCCACCTTTGTCAAATATTAATTGAGCGTATTGCCTTGGGTCCATTTCTGGGTTTTCAGTTCTGTTCCACTGGTCTATATGCCTGTTCTTGTGCCAGTACCAGGCTGTTTTGGTTACAGTCGCTTTGTAGTATAACCTGATATCTGGTAATGTGATCCCTCCAACTTTGTTCTTCTTTTCAAGATTGCTGTGGCTATTCGGGGTCTTTTTTGGTTCCATATGAACTTTTGAAGTATTTGTTCTAGTTCTATGAAATATGTCGTTGGTATTTTGATGGGGATTGCATTGAATCTATAGATTGCTTTGGGTAGTATGGACATTTTAATTATGTTAATTCTTCCAATCCATGAACAGGGTATGTTCTTCCACTTTTTTATATCTTCCTCTATTTCTTTTTTCAATGACCTGTAGTTTTCTGCAAATAGGTCCTTTACTTCTTTGGTTAAGTTTATTCCTAGGTATCGTAATTTTTTTGGAGCGATGGTAAATGGGATTGTTTTTTCAGTTTCTCTTTCTGTGAGTTCATCATTGATGTACAAGAATGCCGTCGATTTCTTGACGTTAATTTTGTATCCTGCTACTTTGCCAAATTCATTTATTAAGTCTAATAGATTTTTGATGGAGTCTTTAGGGTTTTCTATGTACAATATCATGTCATCTGCAAATAATGACAGTTTCACTTCCTCCTTTCCAATTTGGATCCCTTTTATTTTTTCTTCATGTCTGATTGCTGTGGCTAAGACTTCCAGTACAATGTTAAACAAGAGTGGCGAAAGTGGACATCCCTGTCTTGTTCCTGTTCTTAATGGAAATGTTTTTAGTTTCTGTCCATTGAGTATGATGTTGGCTGTAGGTCTTTCATATATGGCCTTTATTATGTCGAGATATGATCCCTCTATTCCTACATTGCTGAGCGTTTTTATCAGAAATGGATGCTGGATTTTGTCGAATGCTTTTTCAGCATCTATTGATATGATCATGTGGTTTTTATTCTTCATTTTGTTTATGTGGTGTATCACGTTTATTGATTTGCGAATATTGTACCAGCCTTGCATCCCTGGAATGAATCCCACTTGGTCATGGTGAATAATTTTTTTGATGTATTTCTGGATCCGATTTGCTAGTATTTTGTTCAGGATTTTGGCATCTATGTTCATCAGGGATATTGGCCTGTAGTTTTCTTTCTTCGTAGTGTCTTTTTCTGGTTTTGGAATTAGAATTATGCTGGCCTCATAGAACGTGTTTGGAAGTCTTCCTTCTTCTTGAATTTTTTGAAATAGTTTGAGGAGAATGGGTGTTAGTTCTTTTTTGAATGTTCGGTAAAACTCCCCCGTGAAACCATCTGGGCCTGGGCTTTTGTTTGCTGGGAGAGTCTTGATTACCTCTTCAATTTCCTTAGTTGTTATTGGTCTATTCAAGTTTTCTATCTCTTCCGGGAATAGTTTTGGGAGACTGTGTGTTTCTAGAAATTTGTCCATTTCGCTGAGATTGTCGAATTTGTTGCCATATAGTTGTTCATAGTAGTTGTTAACGATCTTTTGTATTTCCGTGGTGTTGGTTGTTACTTCTCCTCTTTCATTTCTGATTTTGTGTATTTGGGTTCTCTCTCTTTGTTTCTTGGTGAGTCTAGCTAAGGGTCCATCAATCTTGTTTATCTTTTCAAAAAACCAGCTCTTTGTTTCATTGATCCTTTGAATTGTTTTTTTGGTCTCTATGTCATTTATTTCTGCTCTGATCTTTACTATTTCCTTCCTTCTACTTGCTCTGGGGTTTTCTTTTTGTTTGCTTTCTAATTCTTTAAGTTGTGAGGTTAGACAGTCAATTAGAAATTTTTCTTGTTTTTTGAGGTAGGCCTGTAGTGCTATGAACTTCCCTCTCAGAACTGCTTTTGCTGCATCCCATAGATTTTGTGTTGTTGTGTGTTCATTTTCATTGGTTTCCAGGAAGTTTTTGATTTCTTCCTTGATCTCCTCGGTGACCCATTCATTGTTTAATAACATGCTATTTAGCCTCCATGTGTTGAAATGTCTTTGCATGTTCTTGTTGCAGTTGATTTCTAGTTTCATGCCATTGTGATCTGAGAAGATGCTTGATATGATTTCAATCTTCTTGAACTTGTAGAGATTTAGTTTGTGTCCTATCATGTGGTCTATCTTTGAGAATGTCCCATGTGCACTTGAGAAGAATGTGTATTCTGTAGTTTTGGGGTGTAATTCTCTGTAGATATCTATTAAATCCATTTGGTCTAGTGCTTCATTTAGAGTCTCTGTTTCCTTGCTAATTTTTTGCCTAGAGGATCTATCCAGTGCTGTCAACGGGGTGTTGAAGTCCCCAGCTATGATTGTATTGTTGTCGATTTCTCCTTGGAAGTCCTCCAGAAGATTTTTAATATATTTTGGTGCTCCTATATTGGGTGCATATATGTTTATCAAGGTTATATCTTCCTGTTGGATAGATCCTTTCAATATTATGTAGTGGCCGTCTTTGTCTCTAGTTATGGTCTTCATTTTGAAATCTATTTTATCAGATATGAGAATTGCTACCCCAGCTTTTTTTTGCTTTCCATTTGCTTGGAAAATTTTTTTCCATCCCTTCACTTTCAACCTATGTGAGTCTTTTGTTGAGAGATGGGTCTCTTGTAAACAACATATAGATGAGTCATGCTTTCTTATCCAATCAGCTACTCTGTGTCTCTTTATGGGAGCATTCAGTCCATTTACGTTTAAGGTGATTATTGATATGTACTTATTTATTGCCATTTTTGTTAAGTGTGGTTCTATTTTTGTTCCCATTTCTACTGCTAATTACAGCAGTCCTTTTAACATTTCTTGCAGTGCTGGTTTGGTGCTAATGTATTCCCTTAGCTTTTTTTTTGTCTGGGAAGCTCTTTATTTGATCTTCTATTTTGAATGATAGCCTTGCTGGGTAGAGTAGTCTTGGATTCAGATTCTTGTTTTTCATGACTTTGATTACTTCATGCCATTCCCTTCTGGCCTGTAGTGTTTCTTGTGAGAAGTCAGCTGAGAGCCTTATGGGGTTCCCTTTGTAGGTAACCTGTTGCTTATCTCTTGCTGCTTTTAGGATTCTCTCTTTGTCTTTAATTTGTGGCATTTTAATTACTATGTGTCTTGGTGTGGGCCTGTTTGGGTTCTTCTTACTTGGGACTCTCTGTGCTTCTTGAACTTGAATGCCTTCTTCCTTCACCAAATTAGGGAAGTTTTCTCTCACTATTTTTTTGAATATATTCTCTATCCCTTGCTCCTTTTCTTCTTCTTCGGGGACTCCTATGATGCGAATATTATTACGTTTCCAGTTGTCCCATAGTTCTCTTAAGCTGTCTTCCTGTTTTTTAATAGTTTTTTCCTTTTGTTTTTCTGATTGGTTGATTTTTTCTACCCTGTCTTCTAATTCGCTGATCCGGTCCTCAGCTTCCCCTACTCTGCTTTTTAAACCTTCCAATGTGTTTTTCATTTCGGATATGTCATTTTTTATCTCTTCTTGTTGGTTTTTAATTTCCATTTGGCTTATTTTCAGTGTCTCTATGTCCTTACTCATGCTGTTCAGCTTCCTCAAGATCATGGCTCTGAATTCTAGCTCTGTTAACATGCCTAATTGCTCCACATTGATCTCATCTTCGGTGGAGGTGGTTTGCTCTTTCATTTGGCTTCTGTTTCTGTGTTTCACCATTTTAGCTATCACTCTGGGCTTTGGAGCCTGTCAAGTTCTCCCTGTGGGTGTTGGTGTTCTGCTGTTTGTGGCTCCCTCTCCTGTGTTTAGATGAGCGAGGGAGGACCCGCGTTGAACACCACTGTCAAGTCTTACTTTCCTGGTTAAAGTTGCCAGCCCAGGAAACGTACTGTTATCCTCTAGCTTTTTGCCTGGAAGCTAGCAGTCTAGGTTAATTGATGAGTTTTGGGTTGTCAGTTGATTGAAAAACTCCCTCTGGTGCTCAGCCAAGGGGCTTTCACGAGGGTGGGGCAGATGCTGGTCCTTAGTGAGCCTCAATTAACACTTCAATGGCCCACAGGGTGGGGTTGGATCTCCGAGGGAGGGGCTGCTGCCTCTCTCAGAGCCCTGGGAAGAAGCAATGTGGCCACCGTCCTGAGTGGCTGCACTCAGCCAAAGCTCCGAGAGCCCTCCAAACCCCGAGTGTCCCGACACAGTTCCAGTCCAGTCTGCCCTCCCTCTGCCGGAGCCCAAGGTGAGTGGCTGTGGCTGTTTTAGCCTCAGTCCCGGCTGCGCTGTGGGGCCGCCTGGGAGTGTAACCCGCGGGCGCCGCTTATAGCTAAGGCCGCTGCCGAGCTGCTGACCGTGGGCTCCCAGCCCCGTCTCGCGCCTTCGCAAGCCTACCGGGATGGAGTCAGTGTCCCTCGTTGTATGGTCCTCGCAAGCTGCTTTTCTGTTGGTTTTTCCCGTCGATTTGTCTGTGTTATAGTTGTAATTCCAGTTTGGTTCTGGGAGACGGTCTGTGTAGCTCCGTTCACTCCGCCGCCATTTTTCGGTCTCTACCTTTTTTTATTTTTTAAAGACTGATTTTTTTTTTTTTGCGCTACCCTGCCAGGCTGCCGTCTTGTCATCACACCTCATAAGAAATGAGGGAAATACTGAAAAATGGTGAAACTTGACCACACCTTTCCACTCCACCCCGGTTCTCGCCTCGTGAACACGCACGTTGGGGGTTGCTAGTCCGCGAGGCTGGCCTGGGCCGTTCTGGGTGCTGGCCCTGAGGGTCGGACCTGGTGTAAAAGCATAGAGAACCGAGTTCACTCTGTGTGCGTGCTGTAACTGTGTTTTACGAACTGCAGCTTCTCCTTCACAGAGAACTTGACTACACTTCCGAGTTTATGTAAGACGGTCTCATTTCCCCCCCCGCTAGGCGAAATGAGGAACGACTTATACATCACCATCGAGAGGGGGGAGTTCGAGAAGGGGGGCAAGAGCGTCGCCAGGAACGTGGAAGTCACGATGCTCATCGTGGAGAGCAGTGGGCAGACCTTGAAGGTACGATCCCGTCTGGTTAGGCAGATCCGTGCCGTTGACGTGGGTTCATCCGCGACACGATTTTGGGGCACAAGGCAGCCAGAGGCCGTGTGGTATAACGGTCGACTCAGTGGTATCGGCACTTCCCTTAGCAGTTACCCTGCAAATACGGTATTTCCTACGTCATGCTGTTCGCCCCTTTCATCTCCATGGTTCTGGGGAGGAAGACTTCCTTTTGGCAGTTGGTAAAAACAAGGGCAAGAAACAAAAAAAGACACACCTTTAATCCTATGTGTTTTCATTTCGACCAAAATAAGGGGTGAAGATTGGGGTGCATGTAACTGGGGAGATGGTCCCGGGTCCCCCTGTGTGAGCCCGGGCCGCGTGGGCTTCCCAGGGGGCCCAGCCTGGGGTTCCCCAGCCGAGGTCCAGACCGCCTGGGACTTGACCTTCCCGCTGTGCAGACAGTGGCCCATCTTGGCCACGTTGCCGAGGTCCACCCTTGGCCCGGGGGGCCCGGAGACTGGCCTCAGGGTGAATCAGCGCAGCCAGTTTGCAGGAACAAGCCCTGGGCAGCCCAGCCCGTGGGCTGAGTGCCGTGGGGGACGCTCTCGGCGCCCCCAGAGTCGCCTTTCAGTGGAGCCGTCTGTAAGGCCTGTTTTCTCTGCCAGGACTTCATCTCCTTTGGCTCTGGAGAGCCCCCAGCCAGTGAATACCACTCCTTCGTCCTCTACCACAGCAACAGCCCCCGCTGGGCCGAGCTGCTCAAGCTCCCGGTTCCCGTGGACAAGTTCAGGGGCGCGCACGTCCGCTTTGAGTTTCGGCATTGCTCCAGTGAGTGTTTGCTGGGGCGCTCTGCGGGGCTGGGGGGCCGGCGCAGCTGGCTGGACACGGGGCGCTCACGTGCAGAATGTGTGTGATAACCAGAGACCCCCCGGGAGGGGGCCCGCGGAGTCCAGCGAGCTCAGTGGGTCACTTAGTCACGAGGAACCAATAACTCCTATGGAAACGGAGAGGGGAAAACATATCTGCGGAACTCTACAGCGTTCTCCTTAAATGGATACTCTTATTAAAATAGTCCATCACTTTTATGGTCTGGAAACAGTAGACAGAGGAGGAGACGCGGAAAGCTGGCCTGGTGAGGGTGGTCGTGAGTAGTCCTGGCCCACTGCCCCGTAGCTGTCCTTCCAAGTGCTCATCCAGCTGACAGCTCAGGGGACCCACCAGGACTTTCCTGGGCTTGTGAAGTCACTAGGGAGGCCTCTGACTGGCTCAGATTTATGTCTGCTTTGCATCGATCTGCATCACTGGCAGCCTCAGGCAGTATTCAGATGAGAAGCAAGTAAGGTCAGTCCAAGTGGGCCTTAGAGCCCACTCCTTTTACAGATCTGAGAAATCCAAGACGTCGGTGTTACAGGGTTTAAATGGCCAGTTCTGGACGTCTCTATTTTTATTCCTTTGCATTCACTACCACCCTCTCCAGTCCCCCACTCTGCCCCCACCAGCCCCTGTCCAGGGACCTCCCGGTGTTGCCCGAGGCACTGAAGTGTGTCTTAGACACGGCCAGGAGCAGCAGGCTCCCGTGCAGTCTGGAAGGGGTGGCGGCATGGCCCGGAGGTGCGGTGACCTCACCTGAGTGCTGTGTCATTCACCCGAGGTGTGGGGACAGAAGGACTTTGTTCCTGGGACTACAGCGTGTTTCTGACTTGGCTCAGGGAGCTCCATACCGTGCTTGTGTGGGTGTTTCAGAACATAGGGAGAAGGCTATTGGGTCTCACCGTTTTCCAACCCCCAGAAGGGTTTCATGGGTGGGACCGGAGTGGGGGACCATAAAGGACCAGGAATCATGCCATCCCTCGCATTCCACTGCTCTTGTTGTGAATTCCCAGTTGGATTCCATACAAGCTTTGAGCTTTCGGGTGAGAAAAAGACAAAGGAAAATAAAGGCAAAATGGGGAAAAGAGAGAAAGAGCATTTGGAGGAAATTATTATACTCAGAACTTGGAAAGTGGAATAAAGGCTATTTTTAGTAAAGCCTGTTAGATCTCTACCCTTTGTCCTTGAACTTCAAACATGTTCACACGTTTGTGTGTGTGTCTTTTAATGTTCATAAAAAAGTCCCCAAATCTCATAAACTATGAAGAGTCAATGAAGTAATTTTATTGCATGAGCTTCTAAATATTTCTCTGTGTGCATATATATTAATGTATTCAAAAACTATCACTTATTCTTGAGACAAATATTGGTGGAACATCTGTCATGTGTCAAGCACTTTACTGGGCACTGAAGATACATCAGTGGGCACATCCACATCCCTCCCCTCACAGAGCTTTCATTCTAGCGAGGACAGGCGGGCGGACAGTGCGTGCGAACAGATGCACGCGCGTGTCTGAACCGAGCTGTGTAAGCAGGCGCACAGCTAGCGAGTGAGTCTTCTCTCTCTGTTCCTCTCAGCGAAGGAGAAAGGCGAGAAGAAGCTGTTCGGTTTCTCTTTCATCCCCCTGATGCAGGAGGACGGCAGGACCCTCCCGGATGGCACGCACGAGCTCATCGTGCACAAGGTGAGGCCGAGCAGGGGTCAGTCGTAGGCAGGGGTGGGTGATGGACAGGGGTCGGCCATGGGCAGAGGTTGGCGATGGGCAGGGGCCAGGCAATGGGCAGGGGTCAGCCGTTGGGCAGGGGTCAACGGGCTGGTCGTGGGCAGTGGTCGGCCAGGGGCAGAGGCCGGCTGTGGGCAGGGGCAGCCGTGGGCAGGGGTTGACAGGCTGGCCATGGGCAGGGGTCGGCCAGGGGCAGGGGCAGCTGTGGGCAGGGGCAACCGGGGGCAGGGGTCGGCCGTGGGCAGGGGCAGCTGTGGGCAGGGGTGACAGGCTGGCCATGGGCAGGGGTCGGCCAGGGGCAGGGGCAGCTGTGGGCAGGGGCAACCGGGGGCAGGGGTCGGCCGTGGGCAGGGGCAGCTGTGGGCAGGGGCAACCGGGGGCAGGGGTCGGCCGTGGGCAGGGGTCGGCCGTGGGCAGGGGTCGACGGGCTGGCCGTGGGCAGGGGTCGGCTGTGGGCAGGGGCAGCTGTGGGCAGGGGCAACCGGGGGCAGGGGTCGGCCGTGGGCAGGGGTTGATGGGCTGGCCGTGAGCAGGGGCAGCCGTGGGCAGGGGTCGGCCGTGGGCAGGGGTCGGCCGTGGGCAGGGGTCGACGGGCTGGCCGTGGGCAGGGACTGTGCAATGGACTGCGTCACTAGCTCGCTGTCCGGCCGTCACTCTGAGGGAGACCATCGTGACTGGAACTGGTGTCCGTCTGGAACACTGCGGCCGGGAGAGTGTTTTTCCAAAGTACTGTTTCTATGTTCTGTGTCGAGTTCTAAGCCGTATTTTAAAGATGCTGTCTTTTTCATCTTAATTCGAGTGTGGGTGTTCGGGAAGCTCTGTAGGTTGACCGTAAAGTCCTTCCCCTGCTGTGACAGGACGAAGTGGGCCTTACAGGTGTTTCTGTGTGTGGCTGACACAGGCTCTCCCCTGGCGCCCCGTCCCCGCCCCCGGTGGTCAGCGGGGTCGCCGCCGCATCTCCCTGCGCGACGCCCTCAGCAAGCAGGGAAGCGGCTGCTCTCTGACCAGTCGAGTGATTCTTTCTGTGTGTTGCATCAAAGACGATCATACCGACATTGGGAATAAAGTATACTGTGGTAGGAAGATTTACAAAACGGTATTCTCAGACATTACCTGAGAATACTAGTAAGTACGAGGTGTAGGCTAAAAACACCAGTCACTGTGAAACACAGGATTGCAGCACCGTTTTCTCCACGATACTTCTCCTGTGCGGCCTCCATCTCTGGAACCAGGAGCCATTCCAGGCTCTCACCTGGCCAGCTGGTCCTCTGACCCGGGTCTTGTCTCACCCTCGGTCCCACCCAGACATTAGGGTGACCCACCACGGGACACGTCTAACCAGGACCCTTCCCAGTCTAAACACACTGAAAAGCTCCCCATGATGGAGCTGTCCCATGCCGGGCTCCCGCCTCCCCGGCACCCCTTCCTGTCCTTAACCCGATGCCACAGCCTCTCCAGTTCCTCCTGGTTCCATACCCTGCCTGCCGGTCCCCTCCCCCCACAGCCAAGCCACAGCCTGTTTCAGGAGAAGCCCCCCCCCATGCAGTGAGGGTTTGCGGAGCGGATGGCGAGCGCGACCCGAGCTGTCGTCGCCTGGGCCGCTGCTCATAGGTGCCGGCAGCGCGCAGGGCAGTTCTGCTGGGCTGTGCGCGGGTGCGCGTGGCTGACCGGCTGACCGCAGACGGCAGGCATTGTAGGTCCAGGAAGGCTACGGACGCATCGGAAGCTTCCGCCCCGCAGAAAACCCTCCGAGCCTCAGGGTCACGGTTGTCTGTGGGCTCTTGAGGGGGGCGGTGTGCTCGCGCAGCGCAGCCGCTCTGTGGGGCGTCCCCTGGATGGCTTGGTGCTGAGCCCACGCGTCGGTTGTCCACGGAAGGCCCCAGGAGGTCATGAATCAAAAACCATGTTACGGTCACTGCGCGGCTCCTTCCTCTGCACGACCGGGAGGCACACAGCTGGTTGGCAGTGGCAGCTTTGAACTTCATTGTTTTTTAAAAGTGGGAAAGAAAAGAGAGAGAGAGAGTGGACTTCAAATCACTGGGTTAAAAAAAACCATAGCCCGTTGGATACGCGGTGCTGAGAGGACGGATGTGGGGAGACGAGAGCTGGGTTCAAATTCCCGACTCAGTGTGAAAAGTAAGACTGTCAGAGTCTTAGAAATGTGAATCCTTGTAAGACTTTGTAAGGATGGCTCAGATGTTAGAAATAACTCCAAAAATGTGTACATTTGGCTACATGAAGTTGAAAACTTTATTGGTAAAACCATCGTAGTCGAGGCTGAAAGACCCTTGACAAACACGGTTCTCAAATTCACCCCGCACCGTCACAGATCGGTAGGAGAAAGACAGATCGGTGAGTGCTACAGACAAGTTACTAAAAAGTAATAAATGCAGATATATAAAAATAAATATATGACTCGTCAAAGAAATGTAAGTTAAAGAACAGGAAATATTTTGATCTGTTACATTGGTACAGATTTTTAAAGCCCAGAATTAGAGAGTAAGATTAAGGGGAAATGAACACTCTCTTGCATTTATAGAGGCAATATGAAGGGTGGTTTGGCAAAACATGGATCCTTTTGAATGTGTATATTCTTTGAGTTAGCCATCCCCTATCTTGGTATTTGTCAGAAGAAGATAATCAGACACGGTGAGCAAAGATGATTCAAGGATGATCATTGCAGATTCCTTAAATATGGAAAATTTGAAAGTCATCTAAATTACCAAGGACATGGGCCTGGTAAAATAGATTAGTTATATCCATGCAATGGCTGAAATACGACATATTTATTGAAATAATGTCTAGTGGAAATTTTTATGTGCATAGAAAAATATTTATGCTGTATTGATAAACCACATTTTATAGAAGCATATATTTATGTTTATAAATAAGTTACATGAATAACCCTAATATGTATGTATTTCCATAGAGAGATGCTTGGAGGGGTACCCTAAAATGTTAACAACTAACTTTAGTTTTATTTCTACATGGCTTATTTTTTTTTTGTTAGCCGTCAAGTATCATTTTACAACAATAAAGCTTTTATTCACTTTGGAAAAATATTGGAAGAGACAGAAGGTTTTATACCGTTTAATTTTGGAGTTCCATCTAACGAAAGACCATTCTTCTGTCATGTAATCTTGACTTTAATGTTTATAATAAGGTTTTGAAGAAACATTAATTGCCTTAGATCTTTTGAAACCCTATTCAGTGTCATTCATTGTCTGACACATGCTGTCTATGAAATCAGGAGTTGATAAGAGGTGGAAAAAGATGCTCTAAGACAGAGTTTAATCTCACTGAGCTTCGTTACTTCACCGCGTCCTGGTGGGATTGTCGTCGTCTTTCACTGTGGGAGGAGTATGTCTGGCTGCCCCCTGCAGCTGTCTGCTGGAAAACAAGTTCAGAAAAGGGACCGAAACAAGGAGCACAAGAGAAAGTCATTTTCCCAACGTCAAGTCTCGTAAAGAGAATGATGTGAGGACCCAGAAAGGAGGGTAGGAAGTGAAGAGCTGTACCCTGAAGTCCTCCTCCTGTCCTATTCCTGTGGCCGATTTTTAGTTTGGAGATACGTTCTTAAACACCTCCAGGTCCAGTGTATATGTATGTATCATAAACAAGCCTTTAAACAGCAAACAGATGGTGATGGTGATGGTGACGGTGCTGATGAGAAGAAGGAGAATACAGTCTACCTTTAAGACATTTGGGTTTTGCAATTCCTCATTGTTGATGAACATCCTCATGACTCAAATGGCCCAACTCAGCCAGGCTGGGGTTTTGCTTATTAGAAAATTGATTCCTTACAGTGGAATTTATTGGCCTCCCAATCTAACTCATCTGAGCAGAAGGGCCCGGTAAGACACCAGCCAAATAGGGGATGACCCTGTCCCCCGGCTGGAGACGGGTTACTTTAATGTGGTGGCCCAGACTGCCAGAGTCTGGGGGGAGCTGTCTACTTTCCCATAATCAGCCTACCCCCTCGGTCAAGGTTGTCTTCTTCTGGCTGATCCGTCCAGTGCCACAACTGCTTGTTTCTTAGTCACATCAACTCCAGAGACCTTTTTCTGTGTTTTGCCTTTCTTGGGTCTTGCTTCACCCCAGCCAGCAGGACCTCCCACTTAGGCGCTGAATAAATACTGGATGGAAGGATGTATGGATGGATGGATGGATGGGTGGGTGGATGGGTGGGTAAGTAGATGGATGGATGGATGCATAAGTAGATGGATGGATAGATGGATGGATGGATGGATGGATGGATGGATGGATGGATGGATGGATAAGTAGATGGATGGATGGATGGATGGGTGGATGGGTAGATGGGTGGATAAGTAGATGGATGGATGGGTGGGTGGGTGGGTGGGTGGATGGATGGGTGGGTGGGTGGGTGGGTGGATGGATGGGTGGGTGGGTGGATGGGTGGATGGATGGATGGGTGGGTGGGTGGATGGGTGGGTGGGTGGATGGATTGGTGGGTGGGTGGATGGATGGATGGGTAAGAGGATGAGTGGATGGATGGATGAGTGGATGGGTGGATGGATGGATTGGTGGGTGGGTGGATGGGTGGGTGGATGGATGGGTGGGTGGGTGGATGGGTGGGTGGGTGGATGGATTGGTGGGTGGGTGGATGGATGGATGGGTAAGAGGATGAGTGGATGGATGGATGAGTGGATGGGTGGATGAGTGGATGGGTGGATGAGTGGATGGGTGGATGGATGGATTGGTGGGTGGGTGGATGGGTGGATGGATGGATGGGTGGATGGATGGATTGGTGGGTGGGTGGATGGATTGGTGGGTGGGTGGGTGGATGGATGGGTAAGTAGATGGATGGATGGATGGATGAGTGGATGGGTGGGTGGATGGATGGATTGGTGGGTGGGTGGATGGGTGGATGGATGGATGGGTGGATGGATGGATTGGTGGGTGGGTGGATGGATTGGTGGGTGGGTGGGTGGATGGATGGG